TTAATTAAATTTTTAATAATTTTGTAATTAGGTTTTCATAAATTTTTAGAAGTAAATATTTTGATACTAGTCTTATATCTACCACGTGTCACCCTGATTAACCACATTTATCGGCCCAAATTTTGCTCGTTAGAAGCTGTTAGAGACTTGATAGGTCAATTGGACAGAATTGTAGAGAAAATAGAAAGCTTTGGAAAAAATTGTGCTTTTCTTTAAATAAAGTTTGTTTAATTGTTTGATTGGTTTGCTTTTTCAGTATTGGGTTGTTTTTTTCTCGGTTATTTGAAGCAAGAGCATTTTTATGGGTTTAAGTCTGCGACTCGCTTCTAAAATAGATTTTTTAAATATCACCGCTTGTGGTAGTGGTTTATATACTATACTTACTACACTCAGTTAACGGGCAAGTTTATTTAATGACGAGGTGGCTTGTTCGCACCACTGGATCGACTGTTTTTGTGCAAGATATTTGCACACTAAAAGTTTCATGAACAAGCATTTCAGCCAGTTCAGTGGCACGAGTTTGTTTTGCGTTCATTGTTGACGTGGAATACTGAGTAACTCCAGAAGTTGTGACGTCTAAATTCCCTGGTACTATTACATCACAAAGGTTTTTTACTACCGCTTCTCCTAAATTATGATATTCACTTTATTGCAATTTCTTTGATGTCGTTTTCCGCTTCTCTGAGGTACCACAAAAAAATATAATGTCTTTCCCCCAAATGTAATTAAATGATACACGCGAAGCATTTGATAATCTTATTGAGAGGAACAGCGTCGTATGGGTAAAAACTAGATATGTATCTGAAGACACTCGAGTGACAGTTTCCAGCGACTCTAGCCCTCGGAGATTTCTCTGAAGAATTTTCGAATCTTGGCGTTCAATCAGAAAAGGCCAGTTCTAACATCAGTCCTTTAGCTTGCTATCATGATGCTAAATCATGTCACTTGGCCAAAACGTAGTTGCTTCTAAAAGCAAAAGTACATGGATTATAACAGGGCTAACAGAGTCCGCCTTCTTCCAACTCGTCTTCGAGGACCTCTTGATTCTGTTGTTCTGTTTCATCTTTGATAGTCGATACCGGATAAGCACTCAGCTGTGTGTCAGTCTTACCAAAGTCATTGATGTTCTGGATAGGCTTTCTCTCCGTCGATCCTCTGCCTCCCACACTCCCAGGGACACGCAGACTACGAGATAACTTGGCAATCTAAAGTGAAAATCACCTCAAAATTAATGTAAAGCCTGCCAACATACCTCACACAAACGATCTGTGTACCGTTTTTTTTAGACGTCGGGTAAATTGTGCGAAACGCTGACAATGGAGTCAATAAGAAATAGACATTTATGAAGAATCGGTGTTTCAGATTCACGGGGAAGCGTGAGGAAAAAGTTTCCATTTAGGAGAGGGTTAGGCGTATGGAGGCTGAGATCATGTTGGGGTTTGACTGTATCATAATGCGCGCTCACTAACCTCATTGTCTAAGTACGTGAAAAGTGCTTGGGATGTGCAGGTTTTCATTCCCTCGGCATCGCCCTGATCAAAACAGTCCAGAACTTTTTCTGCTGCTATTGCTTCATCTGAACTACTAAACCCAGGAATTCTGATACAAAAGAAACACTAACATCACTTTCATTTCATACAAAGTTTAGTTCAGAATGCAAGTTCTACAAAAAAAAAGACAAGATACAAGAACTTGTCTGCCTTGATCTACAGTAGAACTTTCTGACACTGAACTAGTCCTTAACCACGACCTTAACATTCTCAAAGACTTAATTGAGCCACTATAGATATAAAAAAAGCATACTTTTCCGTGATGTACAAACTAAACTGGTCTGACTAGTGTTTTCAGTGTTAGCATAATTTTGATGCTCGTCCACCACAACGTCACTTGAATCTTGCAGGGTTCTTCTGAACATTTCTCTTCATTCGTGCAGTTATTTGAGTTGAAAAATTTAACTTGAAACAAATAATAATAATAATAGTAATAAATAATAATAATAATAATAATAATAATAATAATAATAATAATAATAATAATAATAAACAACCTCATAGAACGTACTCAAAAGATTCCTTGTAACAGTTATCAGCAGCTACATAGTCACTCTCATGAAGATGAACAACAACCATGCCGAGAACAACCTGAAAACATTATAATACAACTACACGAGTGCTGTAAAACTAAGGAATTCAAAAGTAATTGTGTTGATAACAACTATAATACAGTCTCTATTCAAGTTTGATTTTAGGGGAACAGTACCATCAGTTTTATTCATCAATTAAAAGAAAAAAAAACAGAGCTTTTCACAGTTAACTGAACATAAGCATTTAACACAAACATGTCGTTAATTTCGGCAGGGGGTGTGGTGGGGTGGGTTAGGCCGTAGCTACCTTCAAGTAGATTGAGATAGCAAAAATATAGACAGTGGATGGTCCTGATCAAAACATTGSAACAGATTTCCATTAAAATTAATCCGTTGATCAGATGGCTAAGCAAGCTCGRCAGGTTTTTAACCAGACSTGCGTTTAATCTCAAACTTTGCCCCACCAACCCACAAAACCAATACAGCTACTAAAATGGAAGAATGACTGCGTTCCTGAGTTCACTGTAGAAATTAAAGTTGATGAACAGTCATGGAGGACTTATGAGGAAGGTTTAGTGCTACCAGACATGGAATTAGGAGGTGGGAGAAAGAAAAAAAAACGAACTAGCATGGACTTAATAAGGTGTACCTTTGACATCATTTGGAAGTTGTCAACCTGCTCATAAAGTTTCATTTGTTGTCGCATAATATTGAGAGCTTCCTGAAATCTACAGAATAACAGAAAAATCTAGTTAACAACATCATTCAGAAAGATCACAAATAAAGAGTATGAAAAGAACTACAAGATAACAGTAAGAGAATATCCTCAAAACAAGGTAAGTCCACATAAATACGTCTGATACTAATACACGTGGTCAATTGTCGTGGTCATCTGTGTCATTTCCCATCAGATTCTCATAAAAAAATAATTGAATAAGTAACAGTTTTTTAGTTACCTTTTTAACTTTAAAAGGAGGTTAGCAGCTTTTGACAAAGGTTCAATGGCTTCTCGAATCTTGTCCTCTGACTATAATTCAATTAAACAACTTCCATTACGCCTGTGACATACATATGTTGTGATCAAGTAAAATTAAATTCACAACTCAGATGAGATGGTTCTTTACTTTTTCAATAATCAATAC